ATAGGATGCTACATGTGACGTCACACAGACAGGCCCCTCCCACGATAGTTTGATTGACAGTAGCGTTTCAGCACAGACTGGACTGGTGTCTTACCTTAGACCCGCTAATGAATCTTTGCAAATCGCCTTTCCTAATAATGTGCTAATTAGCAAGTTTCACGATGAATGCGGGCGGCTAAAGTAAACTGTCTCTCTGAGAGCAGCTCGGAAGAGAGGGGCGGGGCCAGGAGAGCTCATTAACATTTAAAGGAAAATGCTACAAAACGGCTTGCTCTGAAAAGAGCTGTTTTTGACAGGGTAAAAAAGGTGTTTTTTACACTACCATTGAGAAATTTTAACCAAACTATGTTACAGACTTTTCATTAAGACCCTAAAGAATCATATCAACTTGTGGAAAATGGGCATCGGATGAACCCTTTAAATTCCTGATGTAAGCTATTGAAAAAAAGAGAAACCCCAACTGCAGATGTCCTGCAGAGAGAGCACGGTCAAACTGATGACCTTAAAGAGGGCCGCTTTTCACCAGGCTCTGAATGTCACTGAGCATTGTGCTCAATAGACTCTTTATGGGAAATGGAGAGCCCATACGCCGACACTGTTATTGTAGAACCTGTGCCCTTTTCTCCAGAGATAACGGCAATAATCTCTGCAGTCTGGCCAGAGGCTCCCTTGGCTCTTATATCCTCCAGGGCTGGCACAGGTGCTACTATTTTAATTTGTTCACTCTGTAAGAATGAGGATCGGTGTTGTATTATTGAAACGAGCACACTGACTGAGGAAAGTAGAAGGATACAAACACAAATAATATTTTATTTGCCATTGGAAGACATTTTTTTAAATTTATAGTCTTATTACACCAGCTTAGTGTAAATGATACCAAATTGAACTTTTTTATTGCATGGTGTAACAAAGCAATCATGCTTTCCCAGAAAGATCTGGATTTATTAATGATTGTTACTCGTTAATAGTTAGTATTGTTCAAAATACAAATTGTTCAGGGTCTTTTTATGTATTTAAGGCATATATCTCCCAAAAAGGTCAAGTTCCAAATTCCAATTGAGTCCTGTTAGAAACAGGCATGCTGAGATTTGTGTGCGATGCATAAATGCTAAATCACCTCAGTTCACGTAGCATGCTAACCGTGTTAACTGACTAAACCACTGGATGGCAGCAGGTTTGCTGTGCTATTGCTGATTTTGTATGTCCCCTGCTGAACATGAAGTGTTTCATGTTATTTCCTGTTTTGAAAGCTTTTCAGTGGAACTGTAATAGTACAGCACTGAAATTAGCCAGTTAACATTAATTAGTTTAGCAGTCAGTTTAGCGATTATTTTGTTGTTTTATAGGAACTGTCTATTTGAAATCTTTATTTTAGAGAGCTTTTAGACCAATTTCTGAGGGATCCTTAAACTGTTATCTACATGTTCATATTGTATCTATATAAAATGTTTTTTAGATATGTTTTTATCTAAATGTCCCACTGTCAATAACAAATTGTCATGTTTTCAGCTAAAGTACAACAGACTTAAAGGTGATTTTGTCTGACCTTGAAGAATATATAATGATTTATAAATAAGGAAGGCTATTTTATATATTGAATTGTAAAAGAACATTGTTCAGCCCCTTATCATTTTAAAAGAAGAAAAATTGCTTATGATGAGTCCTATTTAAAGCACAGAGATGTTCAATGGGTCAGGGATAGCTATCCAGATGGTTTTGATTTACAGGAACCTGCTGTGCAAAGCACTCTGCTTGTCCCACCAGCTGCATCCAATAGCCCACAGTATCACATTGTTCGATAATTCATAATAATCTTGCAAAGATTCCTCTTTCCTTTGCCATCTTTAGACAGTATGTTGGTTTCCACTTGAGGTTGAGGCACATTGTGTTCACAGAGTTAATCAGTGTGAACTTTACTCTAACTTATGTTCCCAATAACATGGCCTTTTTTATCACCAAAAGTTTCCCAGGGGTTTCACTCTCTTTTTGGATATGGAAACTAATGTTTATGTCAGTTTTCATGGCTCATGCATGGAACAACTCCACTCCAGCCAACTCTGCTGACCACCTTGCAATAATATAAAATTATATGAACGCTCTGCAATTACGATTCTCTTGCTAGCATTTGATGAGCAGGTGGATCAGGAGTTACGATGGGCTTGCCAAGGAGGTTATTATTTTTGCTTTTTCATGCATTTCTGGGATTTCTGGCATAATGCTTTTAGGAATGTTACCCGGAGGTTGTATTTGATTGCCAGTCCAGCAATGACCTTTTACCCTCCCCTCTAGTCTTGCATAGCGAGTCCTTAACTCTTTATTATTTTAATAGATTTTAAAATGTAATAAATTGTTGATTTGGTCATCAAGAAACATTTCTTCTTATTATCAATGTTGGAAAGAGTGCTGCTTAATATTTTTGTGGAAACCTTGATCATTTTTTCAGGACTCTTTGATTGATGGAAATTTCAAAAGAACAATTTATTTGAAATAGATTTGTATAAATGACTTTACTGTTACTTTTGATCAGTTTAATGTGTGCTTACTGAATAAGTGTTTTTTCCCCATTGCCCATTTATAATAGAAGCTTCTCTGACTTTTCACATGTAGGATGGTTTCTTTCTAACTCTTTCTAAACGGCCTCACAATCACAAAAAGCACAAATGTGTGTAAATGCTATTTATTAGTGTGCTTTACATATTGAAACATTTTATGGAACATGCTTGTATTAAATCTTGAGTTTTTGTGCTGTTTCCCTTGTTTGTTTGAATAGTATTCATAAACTCAGACAATACAGTAAGGCGCATTTACTGAGCCAATTGAGTTTAAACTGACTGTTATATTAAAAATACCTGTTGTGGTATTCTTTATTGGTTCGTAAATTGTTCCTCATCCATCCAAACTTTTCCACCTCCTGATGTTGACAACTCCCCTACTGCCTTTTATCCTGGATTACAATACCTCTTGAATAGATTGAAACAACCCTCAGAGGGCAATCTGTCTGGAGATCTGGCTATAGTCACCCTTGTGTCTGCATGTTTGCCAGAGTCAATAAGCATTTTCACTTGTTCCTCTCTCTCTGCAGACTGGATCAGGTTTATGGCATGTTGGAGCTAATAAGTTAAAGACAACTTCACACACTGTCTGCATGAACGAATTCCAACACTTGCTAATGCCTTCCTTACGGCAGGTCTCCTTAACCTGTTTAACTCCATTCCTGTTTTTGTCTGCACTTTAATGCTATTAAATGGTGGTTTCTGTTGACAGACATTTTCTATGAAAGATTTAACGCTAAAATTTCTGTTTAATGCAGGGTTATTATAGTTAACTAAAACCGTAAAAAAAAACTTTGTTCCTTGAAATAGAATAAACTTCAACTGAAAAAAAAAAAAAAACATATTTTGTTTTAGCTTGTTGCCAAAAGCAATATTTCTCATTGTTATTTTAACTTAAAAAAATAAATAAAATAAAAAAACATTAAAACAGCTAATAAAAATTCCAAAAGCAAAAAATAAAACTACTAAAACTTTAACTAAAATTAAAATGAAAACAGAATAAATATAAATAAAACATAATTCAAAACTATAATAGTATCTCAATGATGCTAAAATAACACTGGTTTAATGCAACATTCACAAACTAAACCAGAAGGAGACTCTTTATTTGAGTGCCAAGTTCCTCAATATTTTCAACTTTGTATTTTATTTTTTGATATTCACTAGGGTCCTACATCACTGCTGGTGTTTATGCATTGATTTAGTGGCTTCCCTCGTGTGTATTTGTGAATCGGTGTGGTTGGTAAGCAAGCAGGATGGGGTGTGTGTGTGTGACAGAGGGAGAGACAAAGTGAGAGTGCGTCCTGCACCTGCAGGGCTACGTCAGTGGTGTGGTAGTCCAGGCAGCCTTGGGGTCAGAGACGGCAGGCAGGGTATCTGTTTAATGTCCCGGTGAGCAGCCCTGAATTTATGAACTCAGGGAGAGGGGGAAATGATAACGTGTGGGAGAGGAGAGGATAGCTCATGCTTCTGTCGTCTTTTTCTGGTAGGAATGCCTCCTTTGCATTCTTTCTCCCCACACAGAGGCAAACGCTAGTTCGGTCTCACTGTAAGCTCTGTGATGTCCATATAGAGAGGCTGTTATAGTTTTAACACAGGAACGGAACAGACACAATTACCAAGGGGAGGAGATCTTCTATTTCCCTGGTATATACACACACAAAAACCAAAGATAACACTTTAGTATAGGGACCAGTGACACTATTAACTAGTTGCTTATTAGCGTGCCTATTATTAACACATTGGCTGTTTATCAGTACTTATAAAGCACATATTCTGCATGACCATATTCTACATCCCTAATCCTACCCAATGACTAAACTTAACAACTACCTTACTAACTATTAATAAGCAGCAAATTAGGAGTTTATTGAGGCAAAAGTCATAGTTAATGGTTTGTTAATAGCGAGAATTGGACCTTAAAATAGAGTCATAATTGAGTTATTTATAATGACGTTTCCAAAATCCACATAATGAAAGTGAATGGTGATCATGGCTATTTGGTAGGGATGCACAATATATTTATTCAATATTGGTTATTGGCTGATATTAGATTTTTAATTTAAATATTGCTATTTTTAATTTATTGGTATTAGTTGAAACTGGATATTTAATTGTTCAGCTTATTTTCCTGTTTTTACATTTAGTTTACTTGTATATAATTTATCGGTTATCTATATCGGTTATCGGTTGTCATAACGTAAATGCATCAGTATCAGCCTGAATTTTAATATTAGTGCATCCCTAATGAGAGTAATTGGTGACAACCGTTAAATTGTTTAAATTTAAATTTTGGTCTCTACCTCATGCAAGCTGTATTAGCTGTTTCAGAATGAATAAGTTATATGGACGGTTTTTACAATGCATCCTTTGTGGAGCTTCACAGCTCCTGGTCTCCATCCACTTTCATTGTATGGAAGAAAGAAATTCATACGGGTCTGGAATGACATGAGGGTGAGTACATGATGACAAGATTTTCCCTTGAATTTCAGTTTCTGTTCTTCACAGCTGCGTCATGTCAAGAAACAAAGCATTTTGTTGGTTGCTTGGTTTCTCTGAGCAGAGTAATCATGCCCAAAATGAAATCTCATTGGACCAGCAACGCGTCCCATGATAGTGAAAATTCATCTGATTGCTTGTGGTTTTATTGCTTTCAGTTTTGTGCAGCATTTTCACCTACAGTGGGGACAGAAAAATTGGAAAGCGGATGTAATTATTGGCTAGATAAGGGTGGAGCGGTGTTTAAAGCTGTAGAGCACTTGTCTCCTCTTCCACCTCCCCTGCCCCTATAGATGAAATCTATCCGTGGGCCCATGTGTGACAGTGCATTCTTTGATTCCATCTGCCTTTAGAGCGAGAGAGTCTGTGACTTTATTGTGGTGACTGGTTGGGAAAAACCTGCCATTTCTAATAACACTGGCTTGAAGCAGTTCGGACTTTGAGCATGTCAAGTTCCATCTGAAAGAGATTTGGGAACTCTCAGCATGAATAAAAACATACAAATGGATTTAATCAGTTTGAAAAGAGCTCGGAAGGGCTGCTGTTGGCCCTCGCCGCTCATATCAGTGCAGCGTATCTCAGCGAACACAGCCCCTGCTGTGAAGACTGGGACAGACGGTGGAGAACTTTGCTTCACTACTCCTGCTTTAACCCTATAAAGCCTATTTTGTCATATTTGATGCATGAATTCCTAGGCCTCTAAAATATTAAAATGATCAAAACTGCTGGAAAACCTGTTGCGCACAATCTACTTCATTCCTTCTGCCCTCTGAGAGATGGTACATACTTTTTAGCAAGTAAAGCACAGTCTAGTGTGAAAACGTCCAAAAACAACCCCCTTCAGGCCGTGGTACACATGTCTTTTTGCTGTAAAAGCTAAAGTAAACATATTAATAACCTTTATATTGTTCTTTATTAACATTTCAAGATGAACACTTACCGGACTGAGGCAACTTGATTATTTATATATTTATTTTGTACAAAAATTAAATATGATACAACAAGCTTTATGAAGAATGTTTATTTGTACATCTCTTAGTCATCATTGTATTGTTTGTATTATGTTTTACCCCACACATTTGACACTACAATGCTTTGATATTTGTAGTGTGCTATACTGTTACAAAAATCTCTTTGATTCTCATTACAAGTTGAATTTCATCTTACTTTTTTTACAACTGTACCTTGTTTCATATTTTTGCTCAGTTTGGTCCCCCAAATAAACCTGAGCTTTATATTCTCTTTATACAGGTCTCTTTATACAAGTTTTTTCATATGTCAGTATGTCACACTGATCTAGTTTATTTATTTTGCATTGTATAGTATATGGGACCATTTAGAGTTTTCTGTTACTTACTTTGTAATGTCAGAGTATATTGTTTTTTGCATGTTAATATTAATTGGAAAAGAAAAAAAATTGGTTTAGCCTGTCTAGCCTGGATTGTAGTGCCTTGGAGTTACATTTACATAACTCACAATAGTCCCACAATTAGTTTAAATGTCCTATGATGAGTGATTCTTTAATACTTAGCCAATTCAAACATTATTATTCAAACACTTGTGAGATGCATTTACGTGTAATCTCATCTCAGAGACACACAACAATCGTGGTAAAGGAATCGGCCTGCAAGGCTGTGGCCCATCGATACTCTTTGGAGCGAGAGAGTGAATTCCCTGTGACCACACAGAGTGCCCATTGTTCTGCACTGAAGGCAGCTGGGTATCAGAGATGCCATTTATCTCCTTATCTCCCCTCACTCGCAGTTAACCTCATCTGTGAACAGCAGCAGAGCTACGTCAGCAGACCTGGAACAGACGTCTGCTCTTGTCTAAACAATGAAGACCATGTCTCACAACAATCCTTATATTGAAGTGAAAATTTAGCTAAATGAAGTTTTCACCTTTCCACAGGTAACCCAGGTGTGGTGGGCTTCTACAAGACATACATGTGGACGCTGTATCAGACGTTCATCCGGAGATATCCAGTGTGGGCTGTGAGCCATGCTGGACACTGTATGCCTCCAGAAACCTATGATATGATTGAAGGTGGGATATTTTCCTCTTTACATACACTACACAGCCAAAAGTACATGTGGACACCTGCTTTCTAATTATTCAGATTTGGCTATTTCAGCTATGCCATGACTAACAGGTGTATAAAATCCAACATACAGTTACGGTACAGTCCTTCTGAAGGTGAAGGGATCACCTGAAGTGATCAGAAGTGGCCCATATTGAGAACAAAGAAGGACAATCATGTAAGTGGTTGACATATGATCTGTCCCAATTCTGAGTTGTTCATGGACTTCAAAGTAGCTTGTCGTTTTAAAAGTTAATTCAGAGTGTCAGCCTTTTCAAATGTGAACTATATTACAAATATCTGTCTGCAGATGGTCAAAATAGTTTTTCTTCTCATGAGCTAACATTTAAGCACTTCTTAAAGCTTTTTGTTGTTACATAAATGTGATGGAGAGAACGATCATAGAGTGATCTGCAGAAAGCACCGTTTGCTGTCCTCTCACTCAGCATGATGTCATTACCACTGTTATAAATGAGACAGTAGATGGCAGCAGATAATTAAGTGACTTTGGTTATTTAGGGGAATAATTGTTTATAATTTTGTGATTTTTAGATGGTTTCCCCCTTTATTTACCATTCAAGATATTATTATTATTATTATGATTTAATTGTTGTTAATTAATAATATGTATTATCATTATTAGACTGTAATTAATAAATACTATTATTATTAATAATTAATTGTATTCATATAAAATATTAATTGATTTAATTATTTTTTTTAATATTACATTTGGTTATCACTTCTTTTTCTCGCAATATTGCATGGTTCAGGTTCTTGTATCAATATAGATTTCAATATATCAATATATGATGTATATAATTTCATATATTTATGTGTTCTGATTTATATTTATCCAGCCTTAGTTATCACTAAAGCTCACTTGAGTAAATTATTAAACAACACATTATGGTGAAAGACTTGAAAGATTCTCTGACTGAAACTAATTTATTTAGGACATATTGTACCTTCGTATACAAACACTGCCCTTGAAGTCCCCGACTGACAGTTTCAGACACAGCCGTACTCTGTCCAGACTGATATGCTGGTTTGTAGTGTCTGTCAGGTTGCGGGATGCTCCTCCCGGAATCCTTTCACAGAGCGCACAGTAAGGTGGAATGCATTGGGGACTGACGAACGAGCCAAGCCGTGTCTCCCTCCTCTGCCTGAACCAGTATATGAAAGTCCAGCATGTTCATCCATAAAGCAGCATGGACGTTTTTATTGAGCTCGCTACGTGGGAAAGACATTACCAAGCCCTCACCTGTAATAAGACAAACCACATGCAGATGGCTGGGATCTCCAAAAACAGCATTTCTTCTGGCTCGCTTGATGGATTGGACAGTCTAGGTGAACGTTGGTCACATCAGGTCTACTGTCCGGACAGACAAGCTTGCACTTCTCAGTATGTCATATTGTGGTGTATTTGCCACCAGATTAGCAGAAATGACCAAAATCAAATCAGTAGATCTGGCAGAACAAAACTTCCTGAAGAGCATCTGAAATTTTCAGCAATCTCGTAGCTTGTTCAGTATATATTATTTTTACAAACTGAAGTATCAAACAATTGCTTTTTTATTGTGAACACATGGAATACTTTTTACCGGAATCACAGTCTTAAAGTATTTAGTGACAGACAGCTGATCTCTGGCTCACACAACAGACGATGACATTCATTGCTGTTCATATCATGTTGTGCAATCACAAGCTGGATGATTAAAAGTCAAAACTCAGCAGCGGATTCAAATGTGCCAAGAGATGACAACAAGCGGCAGGCGTTTGCCAAGCCAGTGCAGATGAAAGAGTGGACGCAATTAAAAGTTATATTTCATTTCCCCAATCTCGCTATTTGAGTGACATTCTTGATTACAATCAATGGCCGTCTTAAGCGGGGCGGTATCAAACACGCTGGGCTTTTCTTTCCACGGCACATTGTCTTGTTCATCTCAATGATCCATCCCTCATCATGTTCTGCCATTTGGTTCGCAGATGCCCCTGTCCGAGGAAATAGCTGCTTGTGTTGCTTCACATTGCTGAGGATTTAGTATATCAGACTGTAATCAACTGAATACTGCTAAAGAGATCCTTGAAAGCTTTTGTTTTTTATCATGCAGGCATGTGCAGGTTTTTTTTAATGTTAGATTAAATGAACTATATAAGTGATTGTTCATTGTTTGGATAGTTTCTTTCAGTAATTATTTAGATGCTTTCTTTTCGCTTTTGCAGGCTAAAAGGGCAATGTTGGCTCAACCAATGGCACAACGTGAGGGCGGGACTATCTGTTTAGTTGCCCAATGGCAGACAGGGGGTGTGTCCCTTCTGTTTATGGAAACTAGTGGCACAGAAATGATCTAATTAATATGTAGATAATTAGGGTTATTAACTTATTATTGTTAACTAAAACTGTTAAAAACAATTTTGTTGATTGTAATAAAAATAAAATAGAATATAAATATCAGATAAAATAACTTAAACTGATCAAAAATTAAATATGTTACAATGGCAACTAACTGAAATAAGATGAAGAGCTAAAATCACTAAATGTAAATAAATAAATAATTAAAACTATATTAAATATAAATAGTGATTAAAAAAACTAATAAAATTACTTAAAATAACATTTAAATGAAAACATTAATTTAACATATTTGTAAAAAACTATGATAGTATATAAATAATACTAAAATAACACTGGTTTAAATTATTTTTTAATTTAAAATTATTTTTAAATTAACTACATTTACATTTATTACTTTGAAATTCACTATTTAAACAATTTGAAAAGCTGATTGTAGAATTTGGTTTCCGTAAGACGATGGCGTCACTGACTTGGGCATCAGATCTAGTTTGCGGTTTCTTCTTATGATGACCCTTCAAACAGCTTCAGGTTTTCAAATTCAACTTCCTTGTCCAGAAGTCACTGGTGGCTTTCCATGTGAATGCTGCCCATTGATTTACTGCTGTTCAAAGGGCTCTTGGTCAGCCAGCGGTCAGCAGCAGGCACAGCCATTCGGAACCCACAGAAACCTCACTTCATCCAGAGACTTCATTGAGTTCATTGATGAGATCTTAAACTCTCAATGCCAAACATTTCAGTCCCATTGGCAATACAGGGCTGGTCGTATTTAATGGCATATATTAAGTGATATTACATCCATGTGTCTTGGAAACATAAACAAAAGCAGGGGGAAATGGTAGTGGGGTAAACATGCCAAATCTCTGTGGAGGAACTGTTCCTGTGGTTGGCGATTCGTGATTGATGCCTTTTGATTACAGTAAAAAATATCTGTTAATGCAAACATGGGGAACATTTTGGACTTTGCCAATGTCAATAACCCTGCCCTGGGTCAAGCCGTCCTCCAGACCTACACATCTCATTCATTTTGTCAGAGCGTGTTAAGAGAGTTACTACTCAAAATCTACTTTCCCTTCTCTGATATGACTAAATTACCCTCCATTTATGCCCAGGCTATTAAAGCATGCATAAAAAAGGAATTTCCCTCGTTCTTGTAAGATTGCCTGGGGTATAGTAAAAGGGAAATAGATTGTTCTGAGCAGTTTGGTTGATGTGACCTTTTGTGACCAGTTGTAGTCAGGTTGGGTTTCATGTTTGTCTTGCTGATTGGAGGCATGGACATTAGTGGGAAACCTATTGGCCCTTTTTAAACATGTAGCATTTAAAACAAGAGTTGTCTAATACCTCTTTGTAATAATTGTTGGTTGGTTGTAACTGTTCATTTTGAATGCTAAAGATGGCCTTTACATTAGTTGTATTTTGGTTGTATTTGGCAGTAGAGGCTGATGTAGATGCATTCTTATGCATCTATATAGTTCACCTAAAATGAAAATTTGCTGAAAGTTTACTCACCCTCAGGCCATCCTCGATATAACTGAGTTTCTTCATCAGAACAGGTTTGGAGAAATTTAGCATTATATCACCAATGGATCCTCAGCAGTGAATGGGTGCCGTCAGAATGGGAGTCCAAACAACTGATTAAAAACTGATCCATAAGTAATACACATGACTCCAGTCCACCAATGAATGTCTTGTGAAGCAGAAAGCTGTGTTTGCAAAAAACAAGTCCATCAATAAAACATTTTAAATTTAAACTGTCGCTTCTGGCCAAATAATACCAGTCCATAATCCATAATAATGCTTCCTCCAGTGAAAAGTCCATCCCTTGTTGTCTTCTCACATCCAAATCCACCAAAATGTCAGCGTGACTACATAGAGCGTCGTTGCGCTTTGTGTGTCCCAAGTTCGAATCCAGACTCGTGGACTTTTCACAATCCCGTCCCCCTCTCTCTCTCTCAAGCTTTGCTTCCGGTCTACATACTGTCCTATCATAATAAAGGCAAAAAATCCCAAAATATGTCTTTAAAAAAAATTTTTTATCCACGGACATATTTGTGTTTATTACAAACACACAGTTTGTCGATTAATTACATTACTTGTAATTATTTTGAGATGTTTTTATCAGCTGTTTATACCCTCATTCTAACGGCACCCATTCACTGCAGAGGATTCTTTGGTGATCGAGAGCAAATGCTACATTTCTCCAAATCTGTTCCGATGAAGAAACAATCTCATCTACATCTTAGATGGCCTGAGTATGAATACATTTTCATGTATATCTTTAAGCATTAATGCTCATGCTTTACATGCAAACAGCATTCTCCTGTGTTTGAAATACTTGCAGTTCTCTCTTTTTTTTAAGATTCTCTGAGCATACTTACAAAAGCAAAAGGACAAGCCCGCTGTATCAACCCATTTTTATTCAGTAACACCACTCTGTTGTGGTTCCTCTTGACATTAATATTCAGTAACCTGATCCCTGGATGAAACATGCACCACACATTTATTGCACATTTTTGAGAGGGGGATATAATCACTTAACAGCCTGCTCCCTATACATCGCTTGCTCTTGCCAACAGATCGTTATTTTATATTGAGGAATTTGTGTTTGCCATATGTTGTATAAATGCTTCTTTGGACCCATTACAGGTTGCTCTGATTTTGTTCCTGTTCCATATCCAGAAGGATATCCTTTGGCTTTCTTATTGGATAAATCTATATAGCCTTAAAATCAACATGAAGTCCAAATTGCCTTATATATATATAGTTTCTCAGTATACTTTCCTGGTCTTATTATGCACAATTCAACAGTGCACATTATCTTATATATTTGTAATTTTTTAAAATTTTGTCTAACCATCTTTCCCACAGTTAAATATTTCTTTAATATAGGTGACTGTAGGTAGGTCATTGTAGCTGGATGTAGGTTTTGTATGTTTTACAAGTAGGATAGTCTGAAATGTTCATGAGGTAATCCTGAGAGGCCACTCAATGTGTAAACTGCTCTCATTGGTGTTTGGGCTCTGAGCTCATAGTGCCCCTCTGTGCTGGTAGATAAACATGTAGGGCCCTTTTGTAGGCAAACTTCAGTGGGAACCTTCGGGAAAAAATCAAGATCGGATTTGGAAAATGGGAAATGAGGGGTAAGGAGTGGTTGGGGAGAGCTAAATGTGTGTGCATGCACAGGTCACTGACTTCATTGCTCAGTGTCTGATCTCTCGCTTACATTCATGAATGAAAATAGCCCTGGATTGAGTGCCTGTCAGTACCTGTAAAAAAATATTATTGGTTAAATACTTTTTTCTGAAATTATGTGTATGCTGTAGAGTTGGTCCCTTTCAAGGTCCTACTCAGTGTCCCAAAACTGTCACATCCAATAAATAGTTATAATAAAGATGTCTCTTATGTTCACTGATGCTGCATTTGTTTGATCACAAATACAGTAAAAACAGTAATAATGTGAAATATTATTACAATTTAAAAATACATGTTTTCTACTGAAATATATTTTAAAAAGTAATTTATTCCTATGATGGCAAATCTAACATTTTAGCAGCTCTTACTCCAGTCTTCAGTGTCACATCATGATCCTTCAGAAATCATTCTAGTGCTGATTTGCTGCTCAAGAAACATTTCTTAATATCATCAATCTTGAACGCAGTTGTGCTTCTGTACTGATGCATCTTTTTATTTTTTGATTAATTTAATGACTTTTTTAGTTGATTTATTGTGTCCTTGCTTAATAGAATGATAACATGATTAATTTATTGGAGAAAAAAAAAACTTTTTATCTGTATAACATTACTGTATGTATAGCCTATAACATTAACATTTTAGGCTCTCCCAGAAAGATTTCTAGATTGAGCAGACTCAGACAGTTGTTTGTGAAATCATAACTCATAATACATACTCAATATACTCATAATACATTAACACATTGTACATTGGCTGATTTGTTCTGTGAACTTTTCTTATGTCGAAAACCTCTCCATACATATTTTTGTTTGTTATTCATCTTATTTATAGCTGGTGAATCTATAATCAAGTCTTATTTTCTCTCTTTTACAGCACATACCATGTGACCCTGATATGTTAATGCTTGGCAGTGAATTTGCCATCTTAGTACCTTAGCAATTGTCCATCAAACCCCAAACCCAGCTTTAAGCTGTATTGCACATGGCATGTAGATTTTTCAGTCTTGCGTTTTGTCTCAGAATGTGTTTCTATTTTTTTTACCCTGTCTTATCTTATCATTCTTGTACATCCACTGGTATTTTATGCAGTGAAAATGATTTAATGTTTTGAACCTTTTGAATGGATTTCATTGGTTCCTCCTCTCTTCGGCTTCCTTTTTATCTCTCCTGCATGTGTCTGTACCTTAAGGTCATATGCACTCCTTTTGGTCTTAGTGGTTCCCCTCCTGTTCCTCCATCCATCCTGTTCACCGTCTAACACCCCCATCCAACGTCCTTTCCTTTTTGAAATCTGTTTTTATCTTCTGTATAAATTTGAAGGTTCATGGAAGTACCAGATCTCTTTTACAGTATTGCACACTTCATGAAAGTCACTTTCCTTGGAAGAAAAAAAAAAAAATCAATCACTTTTTATTTTTTTAAATAAAAAAGAAAATATTTGAGAGTGTCCTTTCTCTATGTGTTGCCGACAATTTATAAAAATATATTAATTTGTCTTTCAACAACAGTCCAACCCGAGGTAATCCACGAGACCCTTAGGATTTGTTGTTCCAGCACATCTCATCATAAAACAGGTCTAAGTAATTAGCCATGTGCAACTACGTCAGTTGAGATATCTTTATTATTTTAGAAAGAGGAGAAGATGCAGAGTGCTCCAGGAACCATATATTGTGAGATGTCTCATGAAGGAGCACTTTGTCTATTTATGTCTTGAAGCTAATATGAGTTATTTCTCTCTCCCCTCTGGTACTCCTCTCTCCCCCTGTCTCATCATTAACAGTTCTGCTCCCATAACTCATCATAGTGATAAATGCCTCAGCTTCACCCCACCTCAGTCCAGCTTCTTCTCTCTTCTTCTGTCATTCCTTTGTTTCTGCGCAGTCCATTGTCTTTCTAATTCTTACCCTTTCTTGGGTTCATACTGGTGAATTCAGCACCTGTAGGAAGATATTAATATCAAAGCCTGCCAAGCATTATCAGGATCTCCAGTTACTGCGATTGTTCAATAGAGCGTAATTTTACTCCCTTCCAAAGAAATAATGAAGAACAAGATCAAGATGATGAAAGAAAACGTCTTATATGGAGCGCTTAACAATTTAATGTGTCTTCTGGATCCTTTACAGTTCTCATTCAGCTGTGATCGGAGCTCCACAATCGATCAAACTAGGCAGCTTTGTCTAATTATATTATTTGCTGTATTTATTAGTTCTAGGTCATGATGAAAGTACTGGCAACAGTCCTGGCCACCATGTGATGATGTACATTGGGTTTGGTGTGAGAGCTTTATGCAGTTTTTCCCTCTTTTTATTTCAAAGATGCATCTGTGACTGAGAAGGAGGATGTTTTTGGGCTAAACGGGCAGATTGAACACAAGCTGGCCTTCCTTCGAAAGCATGTGCCTCGAGACACCAACCTGCTGCTGATTGGTCACTCCATCGGTTGCTACATCATTTTGGAGATGATGAAGAGAGACCCAGAGCTACTAGAACTAGATAAGAAAGTCCATGGAACTACTCTGTGACTATTAATGAAACACACATCTTACTAGTTGCTGGATATGGTCTCACTTTTAAATGAATTATTTTGAATTAATTTATTATTTTAATTGAATTTAATTATCCCCCCCCCCCGCCAAAACATAGAGATTATTTTTGTGATTAATTAAATGACCGATATTTGCTTAGTAAGGTATTTCTCATTGAACACTGACAGTGAATTGAAAAAGTACCCCAGTTCGTTGACCCACAACATCTTTCCTGTTTCAATGCCTTGCTTAGACTATCTACTGATTCTGTCTGATTCTCCACTTAAAACAGTATGAATAACGGCTACAGTACTGCTGTCTGCATAACCTCTGCAGACCACCTCAGCGATTTGCAACTTTGCCATTAGAGGACATGCCGCCAAAACATGGTCGCTGCATGAAAGTATGTAATGTGTGAAAGCAAAGCGAGACACTGCCAATCAGCAGCATAATAAGACACTTCTGTTCCCTTTCCTTGCTGTGTAAAAGGTCAGGAGATTAAATAACATGGAAAAGAACCTTGATTTTCTTTCTCCCTCTGGGGTTTTCCTGCTCTAAGATGTGCTCTTCGTCATTTTTATTTTTAAGCATTTTCTCTACCTTTTTAGTATTTCCTCTAACTAGAGGGGCATGTTTTCCTCCTGGCAAAGAGAAATTGATTTCAGCTTCATTAATGGGGCCAGTGCACTTATGTACCACTTTTTGCAGTGCGATAAAAATATGTTCTGATACTTTTGGATACAATCCACGTCCAAACCACTTTTAGGGATTTAGTTCAAGAACTTCAGTCGAAAAGCTGGTCCCAATCTCAATCTCACTCATCGATTTTAAGGTCCTCTTTCATAATCGGTGAAAAATGTTTCATTCCAGGTCATTAAAACATTGCCAACCATGAAGACCTTTTTGTATACTCGTCTGAATCTGGTCTTTTCAAATTATGGCTAGTTAAATCCCTGTACGATGTAGGCAGATATGGCATGGCTCAGAGCAAACATGCACGAAGGAGAAAAAGATTTCCTTTTTCGTCCCAGATTGCAGGCTGCCAGGAAGCCAACCTGGCGATTATGCCTGGTAACATATGATGTGTGATAATCAGAAACTGTTACTATGGGCTCTAGATATTTATTTTGGAATGGAAGAGACCAGTCAGTTTAAATGATGGTAGGGGTTTCTTTAGTGCATTTCTGGAGGAGAATGTTTGCAGATTTCAGCCTCAGACCAGGAGCAGCATGAGGTAGGTTGGAAAACCTCCCCAAAACTAGAGAAAGAGTTTGACTGACTGCATATGGAGGTGCTCAATTGTATGTCTCTGACATGAGTCCAGTTCACAAGTCTTCTCTGATGCCTTTTGAAGTACTTGCTTGTTGTAAGAAAGTGACACTGTATATGTGCCAGTTGTAGAATAGACAGTCTAAAGAAAGAAATTGATTTGTCTCACAGATGTGAGGCTGCAGAAAAGACCTTTTTCCACCCGACACCTCAGCTGAGGTAGAGCTCTTTTAGGTGAGGAGGAAAATGCTTTATGCCTCCTCCTGTAGCAACCATCTTGCCATGTGCCCCGGGAAGGTGATGCCATTTCCTACATTTGTCTGCACAGATGTATAGTTTGGTTTAACAGCTGTTGGCTGAAGTGTTGCTTTGCGTTTTATTATTAACAGATAACATTTCTTATGACAGTGAACTACTCTGATTGCAATCAAAAGTAGGTTAAAGGCATAGGTCATCTCAAAAATTAAAATTCTGTTCCTCACCCTCATGTTGTTCTAAATCTGTATGATTTATGTTCTAATCTGTACGAGATGCATTCTATTGGAAAACCGAAGGGATTCTTGGAGATGGTTGCTAGGAAGAATGCTTAACAAGTCCCGTCATTCTCTTCAGTGGACTGATGGCACGCTCAAGTTCCCCTGACACTACAATGTGTCTTTCTTGTCCAGGACATGAGGATTTGGGTGTGTAGATTAACTTGTGGGCGAGTGTGTGTCGCAGCGTTCTGGGTGGGCCTCCATTCGGGGAGCAGAGGTCACACCGACAGTACTGAATTATTGGTATGATTTCATACTTCACTCAAATAAAACATTGTTACAGTCACAGCATGAGCCAAACAAAAGCATAAACATTACAGCACATAGCCCTGGCTCAGATTACCCTCACAACATCTCCATATTTTAAAGCTCCCAGACATGACCACGGACCGTCCAGCCCATTGGACATGTAGTCACACGGTTGAGAAAACACTTACAGCGACATTTTATGTTATTGTTCATTCTGGGATGCAAGGGGCAGTGGTTTCCCTTGACCCTCTGGAGAGTAAGGGTCATGGTGGCCTGGCATCCTGGCTTGACCTGGTGTTTTTTTTATTCGTCTAAATAAAAGTGACATGGGATTTCCTTGGGGTGGGCATTTATACCGGTAGACACGATTAACCGATAGAAATTTGTCAACCGGTAGAGATTTTGGACTATCGTCTCTTTCTACAACACTTTGTGTAACGTCTCTGTTACACGCACATGACGTTTTTTTGTGATATTGACACTGGTGACAAGAATTATGAAATTTATATATCAAAAATGTTGATTATTTAAATCAAAAATAACTATACCATGATATACATTGCTCCCGTGAAATAAAATTACTTTGAACGTGATATAAGATTTTGGTCATATTGCCCACCCCTAGGATTTCCTTTATGCTTTCTCCTGGGACCTATGAGGAGCTGACCGGTCTTTTTTCCCAAAGAGGCATTTGGCATTTAAGGTTAGCAGTGATGGGGCACTGTCAGCTTCAGGTGGGCCTTCCAGCAGTGTTCATTATGTCGCCACTCCACTATCGTGCCTATTCCCACTCTGGAGCCTGGCAGCAAGGCTACGTTCGAAAAGAGCAGAGCAGTGCTGACGTGAGTGGAGGCGGCCCTTGCAACACATTCCCATTGAGATATTCACTCACTGTAAGTGGTTGAGTTGAAAGAGATGTGGTCTGGACTGCCGTATGATCCATCATGCTGTCTGAAGCTCCAGTAGATCTGTGCATCATTAACATTCCTCCACTATCAGATCGCACCCTCACATCTCAGATCCGTGGAAGTCAGATTGTGACGTTTAAACTCTCTTCGCCCCTTCTCCAGATGCAGAGAACTCCTTCCCCCTTCCTGACCTCAGCAGTACCAGAGAAGGAACCCTCTAGAAGTAGAAGTGTGTGTGTGTGTGTGTGTGTGTGTGTATGTGTGTGTGTGACTGGCCGTCTGTCTCTCTGATTAAAGAGCCACTCCCAAAGACTCTGTCAGATTGTTCTGTGTTCTCTGTTACATTCCTGTGACCTCCAGGAAGGGGAACTGCTTCTTGTCAAAAGCACTACTTGCACATCAAAGATCACCTGCTCCGCACACACTCCCTCTTCTTCACCTTTCCCTCTCTCTTTCACTGCCTCTTTTCCACTCTCTCTCTCTTTGTCTGACAACTGATGGGCATCAGGATGAGCAGTGCAATAGCAGATTAAAAGTATTATGTGAGAGGGTTGAATGATTCCTGGAGCGGTATGTGGACTAGATGGTTTTGTATAGATTTATTAGTGGCCACTGTCATTATAACTATTACTCTTATTCATACTTAGCATTAGGGCTGTGCAATTAATCGCATGCGATTGTTATGCGCATCTCGTCAGTAAAGCCGGTTCCGTGATTGGTAGTAAATAGCCATCACCTGCTTTCAGATGGAGCGGCATTTACTACACAGAGCCGTAGTTCACTGACAAGCTAGGCAATATCGCGTTCATAATCGCAGATGAATCGCATTCAATTATGAACGCGATGTTGCCTTGCTTGCCAGTGAACTACGGCTCTGTGTATTAAATGCCGCTCCATCTGAATGCAGGTGATGGCGATTTACTACTAATCACAGAACCGGCTTTACTGACTAGATGCGCTTGACAATCGCATGCGATTAATTGCACAGCCCTACTTAGCATCTGCATAGCAATGTGTTAACATCCACTTAGAACACCCTAGCAACAGAGTTGGGAACCACTGGTTTTGAACACTTTAGGAACTGCATAGTTGCTCTCTGAAAATCACCCAAAACACCTTAGAAACTACGCAGCAACAGAACATCTTAGCAATCTTAGCATATCAACGTGCTTGGAATAGTAAACGCATAGTAACGTGTTAAGAACTGCTTAAGCCCAAAGTATACTTCGGCCATCCGCATTCCACAACAGTCCACACACTGTCTGCGTGATGCAGTTTTTGTCAACAAAAGTGTCTGCATGCAGCCCAATTTTTGTGTCTGTGCGGACAGTCCATGTATAACAGCGCAGGCACAAGGTAAATGTTGAGACAGAATGAGTCCACAAGGTGGTACTGCACATGTCAAACTTGTTCATTCGAGAGTGAGTATAGGGCTTGTCCAAATACTAAAATGAAGAACACTTTGTTTTACTACCAAATTATACATAGTATCTAATTATCATTAATATTTAACTTACACTGGAAAGGTTTCTGCGACATTTCGTGAGGTCTCGGCAAAAAGTCTCACAATTTATTTCCATAACATGATGCATGATGGGATACACGTAGCCTCGAACACCGCTCCGCAGTGGTATGGATAGTGTGGATTTAGTGTGCTTTAAAGGCATTAGTGTGCTTTAAAGGCGCTTTGGCATTTTTAAGACATGGGACAGTCTTGCGCACTGTTGTGTGCACGCTCTTTCAAGTGACCAAGACTGCAAGTGAGGGTTTTTGGACAGACCCATACTTTTGAAAGATGTGCGGACATAGCTGTGCACGAGATAAAGTGAAATGTGGAAAAATAAGTATGCCTGGACCTTTAGAACTCACTAGCAACCGTACAATAAGATGCTAGTGGCTTTGAACACACTGTCAGCTGCATTGTAATGTGCTAACAGCTGCTTAGAACGTGGCAGCAAACACATAGCAATGTGCTAACAATGGTTCAGAAAACATGAGCAACTGCATAGTAGAGTCTTGGCAACCACCCAGAACACCTAGCATCATGGTTTTACACCTCAAGCACCGTTCACATTCACTCCAGAAAATGTAGTTTACAGCTGAGTACTTTGTATATTGAAGAAATTTGATTATTTCTTCACGCGTAAGCAGAGCATCTCATTTAATCTCCACTCATTTGATGGTTTGTATTGTAATTGTTACGACAGAGGGACTCTGGATTGTGAATCTCTCATCCATTTGGGGTTTGATATCTTTTCCACTGACAGCAATAGATATTTTTCAGTTCCATAAGGCCCATTCAGATGATAAATTCAGCGGCAGCAGAACTTGCCTGTTCGCCTGTTGCCGGGGCGTGATGAAACCAGCACTCTTTCAGGATTGCAGAACTAGCTGAGTTTGAAGTTTAGTGGTTTGAAGCTGAATAGATTGCATTTGGCACTGCTGACAAAGAATTGTGCTGGCTATCACATATTTTACACAAGAGAATTGAAGATATTGCACTGTTTAGTTTCATTGAAAAATACTTGGCTGCAACTGCAAAGGATTGTAGAGACAGATGAAGCACATCCACTCTGTCTTACTCACTGAATGAGTCTAGCTGCCTTCTACTCAATGGCCAAACAGAGGCAGGTGTTTCCTGTTTCTGGAAGTCTCTCTCTCCTCTCTGTTCCCTCCTTCCCTTGTCTCTCCTATCGATTTCATAATATAGTGAGAACACAAATATGTCATTTTTCATAGTTTGATAACTCTTAAGCATTGAAATTAAGGTATGTCATTTGTTATGATTAAAACTGCTCACATTGCTGTCATAAATATCATGCGTTGCATCTCAGTAAGTCACATATTGCTCTGCTGGTCTTGTTTTTCCTAAGTGTCGGTTACTTAACCAAACTGTTAACTACTTTGACTAAAAGTAGATGATTCAAGAGAAAGTAGAGTTTTCCTGACCTACATTCATCTCTAAAATCTCTAAAATCCATCTGTACTTGTCATCTTCAGGCTGTGAAGGCGGTGATGCTCTTCCCTACAATTGAGCGCATGGCCTGTAGCCCTCAAGGCAAGGTCATGACCCCTGTGCTCTGCCGGCTGCGGTACGCCTTCTATTTGCCCATCTTCCTGCTCTCCCTCTTTCCAGAGAGGCTGAAGGTCAGCATAGTGCGTCTGGCTCTGAGGAATTTTTATGCAGTGGACACCTCCATCATCCCAGCCACCGTCAGCCTGATCAATGTAGAATGTGCAGGTGAGTAAATGTTTTACTTTGTTGTTTCAATAGAACAAGCTCCAGAAATCCATTTTAATGTGTGTTGGGTGGTGTAATTTAGTGAATAACCGATATGTTTTTTTCAGTAGTTAATTCATTAATTCATTAATTTATTTATAAAGATTTTTGTGAAAATGTGTGTGTGCATATACACACACACACACACACACACACAAACACACACAATTTATATACATTTATACCATTATATTTATTACACTTAAATGATAGCTAATAAGGTCAGATGTACACAAAAGTGCTGAATTTAAATGAATCAAATATTCTATTTTTTAATTATTGATTCATATGTGCACTAATATTTGACTTGTGTACAGTTTACACAAAATCTGTACATTTAAATGAACAGTTATTTAAATCAATATTTACTCAGAAATGCTTATCAAAATTAAATATTGAGAGAATAAAAATAAAATACTGGTAAATTTTTGAACTTCAAATGGTTTAAAATAGACCGTTTTTATCTACCTGGTTAGAAAAATTATTGACTGGTACAATAAATAACCAAATATTGGCTGTTTAATTGTCCTGGTTCTTCCAGCCCTTGTTTGTTTGTTTATTAAATTAATTAATTAATTTGTCAGCTACTGATTATAATGTGTTTTTTGGTTTGTTCAGTGGTGATGATTTATTGTTGTCAGGATGCATTTCAGCATGTGATAATCTAGTGTAGCATCTTTAATATTCCACTAAAGTGTAACTCTCACGCAACCTTTCTGTTCACCTCAGTGATGTCCCCTCACTTCTCCATTTGCAGTTTGGACTCTGCTCCAAAGACCTAATCCTCGTTTCAATGAGGTGCTGAAACCTTTCAAAAGTTCACATGCTGGCATCCCTCCAAACCCCCACTGCTCAGATGTGTTTCTCTCTCTTTTTATCGGACGATAAGAAGTATATCACCACTTCAAAGATGATTCGGCCGATTTAGTTCAGATAAAAAAGTTGAGGCCGAAGAGGGGGAAAACGCAAATAATATTTGAGTGGCAGCCAAGAGAGCATTGTCTCACATTGGTTTGAATAAAGTTTTATTTATCATAACTCATATTTAATCTCCAGGGCTTTCAGTACATGAACTAATGGTGCAGATGAAGTGTTGTGAGTAGGAGTAATTAAGAGGCCTCTCCAGCAAGCGAACGGACTGCTAAAATAGTCTCTCTCTAGGTGAAAGGCTGAGTGTTTTCCCTGTCTGTTCTGGGAGGAGAGTGATGGATGTTGTGATGGCCGGAGAGTCTCTGCCAAAGAGGCCTCAGTCGATCCCAGAAGCATTAGTGTGAGCTCCACTCTCTAGTCGCTCTGAAGAACCAGTTCTCTCGCTCGCTCGCACTTCTTTTCTCCTTTTTTCATGCTGTCAGTTCTACCTTTAGGTTCTTTTCTCTTTTTCTCTCCCTATGTTGCGGAGGGAGTTGGAGGTTTGCTCCTGACAGCGCTTGTAAGCATGCTTTTAATCATTAGCACTTCTCATGTAGTGTCAATTGGAATGGATTTAGGGTTTTTTTTGTTCATCTGAATGAAATGTTCAAGTGTTCAAATGTTCAGCTTTTTCCCCTGTTCCTTATTAAATACCAACAAATGTTGAAATACTTTGCTGCGAGGAAGTTATTCAATGAAAAGGCCAGGTGGTCCTGTATGTACACATGTGCATGCATGCGTTTTGTACCATTGAGTGCTGGCCCGTGACTGCGTATACGAAAAGCTGCTCTGACTCTCTGTCTTGTATTACATCCGTAATTAATGGCGAGTTGACAGACTTAATTAAGAAAGCATGTTGCTATTAGCTGGAACTTCCTGGGCACATTTAAGGATTTATTTGCTCAGAAATCCCTTTCCTTGAAACTGAGAATGTTGATATTTTGATGTTAACTGCATGTGGAGCATGCATACAATGTCTGTCATGCAGACATCAAGGTTCTGCATCTAGGAGCATAAACGTCAATGAGGCGTGCTTGCTTGCAAATCCATAGGGAAAGCGGCTTGTAACCGGCTCTAATATGCTTTATCTTTTCAGTAGACTGCAACACTCCACACAGCTTCTGTTTTCACTCACCTAACCACTTATGCCAGTTCTCATGACATATTTTTTATGATTGAACACTCGTGTACTTTTCTATCCAGGCTTCTGTTGGCCTAATTTATGAGAACCGAGAGATTTGACCCACCATCTTTGGAGACGCAGATTAAACTCCTCTGTCTTTAGTTCTTTTTGCTGTTCCGATCATAATTTGACTCACCCGGGAAAGCGGGAAAACAGAGCGTAGCGGCAAGTGGCTTCCTTTCCTGTTAGAGCGGAACAAAGTTAATGTCGACCTGATTTTGGAACCTAGAGGCTAAACTCCTGAACTTCTTATCTGCCACCTTACTTTTGAGTCATATTCACTTCCTCCTCCGGCCACCTGTTTCTGCTTGGAAAGTCGGCCAGTATGCGGAACACCTTTATATTAGTAGAATTCTAACTGAACAAAACACAAAGTTACTTGGCTGTTGATCAATTATTGTTTCTTCCTGTAGTTTTTGTTCCTCATTGATGGTCAAAACACAATGGGAACGTCTAGTGGAATGTTTTTTTTTTTCAGTGTGCCTCAAAATCACCCTCATGTTGTTCCAAACCTGTATGACTTTATTTCTTTTGAGAAATTTCTCAGGGTGTTTTTGTCAACACAAAATATTTACCAAAACAGTTGGTTTACCAACATTCTTGTTTTTTGTAGAATAAACAATGTCATACAGGTTTGGAATGACATGAAGATGAGTTAATGACAGAATTTTTATTTTTGGGTGAACTTCCCCTATAAGCATCTTGGCAGTAGCCATATGACATTTATGAGGTCAGACATGATAACCATAATGCTCTACCATGTTTTAAAGTGATCAGTCTATTTCCTTGCAGATGTTCTTATTTTATAACCTTGAGAAAGTCTCATACGGACCATTTCGCATTAACAGACAAACAAAAATACATCATCCGGCAACCATACCAAGAAGTAGTCTTAAAACAGTTTAGTCACCATGTCCATGGAAGCTGTTCTAGTATTTGCCTGCACATTACCATTAGATGGAGCAGGACGCAATAGAAAGATGCAGTGCTCAATGTGGTGCCAGGCATCTTTGAGATACTTACTGTACCAGTTTTACAAAAACAAACAGGATCATCTTTTAAATCTTAAAATTAGCTGATCCACATGATAAGACCTCTTTTGGATTGGAAATATCCATTTTTATGTACACTTGTGTAAGCTTGTTGCATCTGTTTTCAGTGCTAGAGTTAAATTGCATTGTATTTGGTTCATTTTGATTATCCTGAGATTTTCTGAAGAACTAAATGTTGTGTTATTGTCTGTTATAATCATAGATATGATGAGAACATGATGTTTGATTTCATTATCTGTTGAAGGTTTGAAGGACTGAGGATTGTGACATCCATCATTTACTCCATTTGAAAATCATTATATAATACAATGGAGTGTCAAGATTTGATCATGTCGAAGCTGAATACATAGATTCCTGATTTTCCACACTTCGTAGAGCGCTGTGCTGCCTGATATTAAAGGTTTGTCATTTTATGACATTGTGTCCATGGGCTAGTCATTTATATTATTTTTATATTATTATTTTACTTGAGATCCAAGAACCACATCTGCAACTCTTGTGTTAGCCCAGAGGGCAGTAAAAAAATCCCCTAAAAATGTGGATTTCTTTTCCCTCATCCAGTACGTAACAGTCATTTTCTCGTTGTTGTTTTTTATATATGGCTGAACGGTTGACCTTTCCTTATAATAGAGCCATGCTGAAATTGTAGTTTCTCTAGCAGTAGTTAGTACAGTAGTTATAGTTAATTTCACAACCTGGTCATCAGGTGTGATATATCATGAAAAAAGAAAACACTAGCCACCCCAAAGGGCCGAATAGGAATATCCTGTTCGCAGTAGTTAGTACAGTAGTTATAGTTAATTTCACAACCTGGTCATCAGGTGTGATATATCATGAAAAAAAGAAAACACTAGCCACCCCAAAGGGCCGAATAGGAATATCCTGTTGATTAGGGGTATGAATGAAAAAGTGTTGACAGATGATAATGCAAGGTTTGTTTATTAATGTAACTCTCCTAAATTTCTGCTCTGTGTGACTTTACTTGAGGTGCAATGGATCACGGCCACCCACCTTGTGCTCTTTTTAAAGTAACGAAAATGAAACCTGTATTGTATTTCGGTTGTTGTGGCTTTCTATTACGGCATGTGTTATTGAATTGGAAAGGAGAATATAATTGTCACATTCGCTTAGCTCTTTTAAAGGCAAATAGAATAAAGAGAAGCACATTGTGATTCTGTGGTCCGTGTAAACGGAGGAGAAACTGGATAATACGCTGTACTTTCTGTGTCCATGGACTTCAGACAATTGTGCCGTCATGAACTTGAAATTGTCTTGTTTGTGTTACTAATGCAAAGTGACTGAAGGAAAGAAGTAAATAGATGGTTTTAGAACCAATAAAGGAGTGTGTGGTGTAAAAGCATAGTGGAAGAAGAAAACTTTTTGTTCCCATCTGTATCTGAACTGAACAGGATGAAACATTTAAAAGCTTTTGTTTGTTTGTAAGGCTCCTTCTGCTCCTTGAATCACTACAGTGTTTTACGGTTGATTTTCTTTTATAAAACTATGAAGATTAGATGTTTACTTTAGTTGAACATTTGGCTCAATTATGAATTATAATCAGCTTGATCACTTTCACTGTGCATATGGTTAGTTGACATGGCAGTTTCAACAGAAATGTATTAAACTTTTTAAAACTAATATTAAATGAAAATCTTGATGTTGATGTTGAGAAAGTCCACATTGAACAGGTTATGTTCAAATACCCATCTTGTTTTTGTGTCTTGCCACATGGAGGCACCCATGGCAGGACGCTCACAGGAGATAATAAAATATCGCCACGTGTCTGTCTGTTTGCGTCTTTGTGTGTCTGTGTGTGCATTTTTTTGCGCACGTATCCCTCATTTCTACCTCTCCAGTCAGTTGTTAACTAGGTGCATGTGTGAGGATGTGTAAAATTGACTGGAATGCTGTGCCCTGCCAAACCCCCCAGCCCGATACCCCCCTGAGATAAGTGAGATAGAACAGGGGATGTCTCGCAGATCACTGCCCCAAGACTGGCACACCCTTCTCCCTCTTTTTCCCTTACCTTCTCCTCATTCATGGGATTTTCCTCCTATATGTAATCCTACCATTTACATTACCTGCATAAAGTTTGTTATTTGAAAATGGGCTTAAATTTATACAACAATTTAATTTAAATAATCAACTCCAAATATTTTGCAGTGGACCCCTGGTAAAAAAAATAAAAAAGTT